CAATAAGTATAAACTAACCATTGTTTACGGGATTTCTTTCTTCAATAGTTTTATTTTAATTAATGAAACTATCTATCTACTTACTGGAGGGTATTCCAAGGACACAACCTTTGGTTTTATTTTAAGAAATAAAACTACTATACATACTGGTGGTAACCAGGGTTTTGAACAGAACATACACTACATACTGGTGGTAGCCAGGGTTTCAAATGGAACATACTTTTCATACAGTAACCAACAAACATGTTAGAAAATATTGGATTTTCTTGGAAAGCATGCATACATATTTTAGAATTTGATAATAATGGTTTTCGATACAAACAACATTTTACTTATTATGAAAAGAAACCATTTGTACAAATTCAGTGACTAGTTTTCATTACAAAAACATGCTTATGAACCCACCAGCTTTATGTTGATACATTTTAAAACTGCTTGTATTCTCAGGACAGCGATAGACATGTACCTCGCCAGCTTTTGGAGAAGATGAAGCGTTTTGGAGTCTTGTCTTTATCTTTTGTTACTTTTGATGTACACAAACTATGTTTTCAAACAGATTTAAATATTCTTATTGTAATGTAATGGTTGTGTTTACTTTGACTGCTATGATACGATTGTTGTGATACAACATATGACGTTGCCCGCCCCCGGACGTTTCCGTCGTTACTTTTGACCGTTCGGGGGTGTGACAAGGTTCTATTCCCCATAAACGTTCCTCATGCCCATTGGTTTTTGGCAGTGCTACATTTATGTATTTGGAAAGTACACATTTATGATTTAGCACGATGTATGAATTACTTCACAACGTACTTGACTGGTGGAGAATTCAAAAGTTTTGGGGATAGTATAATCGTAGAGCTAGATGCGATTGACTACTGTAGGAATTCCCCGATGGACACAAAGACAACGCAGTTGTGGAGTTTATTGACATTGTATACGCGCCACAACAAGAATATATTGCTAATAAAGGGGATTGTGGAGTATTCGTCAGCATGTATATGGGAATGATTGCTTCGGGGGTACTGGTGAAGAGTGATAAGTCACGTAGAGATGCGGGATTTCTCTACAGAAATAGGATGACAAATATTATTTGGGATACTAAATAACTTGATGTTTGGAAGTTTGTATACATTATTATGAAATACTTGTTTTTAGTAGTTTTGTTTAAAATAAACAACGTTTGTATCATATATGCTTTGAAACATAATTCACCAACATATATTACGATACATTAAAAACAAAACAAACATTTGAAATAACATAATAACATTACAGAAGACATTACAAATAAAAGATGGACTAACAAATATTACATAGAACATTACGAATAAAAGAGTCGTCTACATGAAAAGGGTTTATTTCTAACCAGATTCCAAACGTCCGTATACTCGAACTCAGTTTAATTAAACTAGCACAGGTAATATCCGTTCATGTATTCAAGTAGTTCTTCATCATCAGCATCAGAGCATCGCATTTTCTCATAATTATAGCATCGATTGTACCATGTGAATTCAGTCTTTAAATCCATCCATTTACTAACAATATCGGGTTTTAGTCGTTCTTGTCCTTGTTCGAGCTTATAGTTGAACAAAGCTACTAAGCGGGACCATTCATCACCAACAAGGAAATTAAGGGGAGCCATTACCGGCAGACCCTCGTAAACGGTAATCCAGCATCGTGTTAGGACCAACACCTCTGTTGTCGTCCATGGAGATGTACCATTTGTTGTAGCAGACACATTAGACAGATTAGTTGCATTTGAAGATGTTGGTACATTGGATTCCATTTTGGAGCAGATGTATAGATACGTGCTTTACTATATATAAAAAGATAGGTAACGCAGACTGACAAGTCAGTAACGCGGAATGACAAGTCAGTAATGCGGACTGCCCATTTGCTTTGCAGACTGACAAGTCAGTAACGCGGACTTACAAGTCAGTAACAACGACTGACAAATAGCTATGCGGACTGACGAGTCAGTAACGCAGACTGACAAGTTAGTAATGTGGTCTGACCATTCGCTTTACGAACTGAAAAGTCAGTAACGCGGATTGACGAAAATCTCTCTGCGGAGTTGAAGGGTCTATATATTGTATCGCTTCATCTAATCTATTTTAGTTTATGTACTTTGTATGTTTTTATAATGGGTTCAAACCTATGGACTACTAACGAGTATTTGCTTCTAACTCGTGCATATATTAATGTTTACGAGAACACCAGTTTGGAGCATAGAATGTTTTGGGTCCTATTAACGAATACCTTCAACATTGACACTGAAACCAGCATAGAAAACTATCGCAGCACGCTTAATATAGCTGCAAAATGGTATAAATTGAAAACAGAAGTTGTGTTATTCAACGATCTTTATAATAAGATTGAATACGATCGTGTGAATGATACTGAGGAAGACATCTTAGAGGCGGCTAAAGAAGAACACAAATCCATTAGCAATGGACAGAGTTTCAAGTATGAAGCCCCTTGTAATCTTTTGAAACATGTCCTATTTTTTAACAATACTGCTTTTTGTATTGTTCTTGTATTTCTTTATTTATATGTAATATGGTATTTATCCTTAATTTTTTGAAACATAATTCACCAACAAGTGTTACGAAACCATACATTCAAATAACATAATCTGAAAAACAAGTTACGCAGACTGACAAATAAGTTACGCATACTGATAAGTCATTTACACAGACTGACAAGTAAGTTCTGCGGAATAATGTATACTAATTCCTTATAAATTGGACAAGAATTTTCATTTTTACAAGGTGTCGAAAGTTGTGAAAATGAGTTCGGTCAATCAGGTATTAAGAAAAAGTTTCTCCAACCTACCGAATTTTTTCCATAATCTGCAAAGAACCAATCCTAACACCTTCACATACATTACGAAAGATCAGTACAATCGTTTCCAAATTTGTTTCGTGGCATTGGGATGCTTGGTATGTAATCCCTTATAGTAAATAAATATTTAGTTATTTCAAGTTGTTATATGCCTAATATTCTTATCTTGACTTACAGATTCATACGTTTCTCACGTCTATGATACCAATCATATTCGTTGGTCAAGTACCTCTAATTGGGGTGTATGTAAGATCCATGTACATTGCGGTTGCTTTAGATGGAAATCATGAACCCCTTCTCATAGCGTTTGCTTTGGGAACCATAAACCATGACAATTCATGGTTATGGTTCATGAGGAGGCTTAAAGAATGTTTAGGTGACAATACAGAAGTTGGTTTCATAAGCCATATGTCTTAATCCGTAGACATTGCAGTTCAAAGAGTCTACCCTGATTCATATCATGCCTATTGTTGTAAAAATATAGCCGAGAAAATACGCGCTTCCACCAGAAGCAATACAGTCGTAGAGCAGTTGTTCTGGAAGACTTGTAAAGCATATAAATTATCTCATTTTTATGCATGTTTGAACAACTTAAACAATGAGGTTAATGGGAATTATCTTCATTGGCTTGACAATATTCCCATTGGAAAATGGGTACGGGGCTTGTTTTCCAACAATAGGTTTCAATGTTAAATTCATTGACATTCCCGTTATTGTCAATTGGTTAAGAGCAAACACACATAAGTTTCTAATAACAACAATCATTGAAATGGTCTAGGACTCAATGCAAACAGTGTATCTTCAACGTGTTGCGTTTGCAGGTAATTATAAGTTATGACATCACTCAAATGGTAAATTGATATGTTATTATACGTTATGACATCATAATTTTTGTTTTTGATTCAGTTCATTTCACAGGGCATTTTCATGGTCTTCTAACCCCTTATGCACTTAAGGTGATTCATAAAAGATTTATACACTCGGATGGTTGTAGGATTACGTATATTGTTGGCGACATATAAGAAGTGAGTAAGTATTCAACAACCGAATCTGTCCAATTAGACCGTGGTATTTGTAGTTGCGGTAAATGGTAAAAATGCGGTATACCTTGTGAGCATGCTATAGCTTCACTACAAAGACTTGAAATTGCATAAATCCATCAAATGGTAAATTTAAAGTTACGTATTGTGGTGTATCGAAATACTTATCAAACTGAGACGGTCAATCCTATTCCAACCCTTAGGCATTGGGAAATAACAATTGAAAGTGTTTTGGTCTTACCTCCACGACGATTCAATTGAACTGTATTGTATGGATCACAACGAATATTAGTTTGTATTCAGTTCTATGTTAACCGTAGTTGTATTGGTCTGTTGGCGTTCTTTACTTTTTAATAAAAAAATGTTTACCTTTAAATAAATAATTGTATTCCCATAATTTTAATGTATGGATGACAACGACTAGACAAACAGATCTGCGGACTGACAAACATTATTGCGGACTGACAAAAAGCTATGCGGGGTGGAAGGGACTATATATAGTCATGGATGGTCGTTGGATTTTTGGTATATAGTTATAAATTTTTTTATATTTAAAATGAGTTCATCTTCAACTTTGTATATTTGTTCGTGCAACGAAGTTGATTGTTTCTATTGTGATCCGATCGACCCTTTTCTTGCCCCATTACCAATTTTAAGAGAGTCGTATATGTCTAAGGATACTTTGCAACAACTACAATGGGCTGAAGAAAAACAAAAAAAAAGATAAAGATTCATCTCGAGCTCTCACTGAACGTCGTGACCTCATTGCGACGGAGTGCAAATACGTTGACGAAAGGATGACGATTACTAAAAAAAATCAAAGATCATGAGGAATGGATAAAAAAAACTAAGAAGAATATCAAACTATCTGTAAAATGCCTTGCTGACAAGGATGCAGAAATGATAGAACTTGGTAGCCAAAAGGACAGTATGGAAGATAAAATAAGAATTAGGAACGACTACATAACAATGCAGAAAGAAAAGTATCATTTGCAATTCCCTTAAGTTAATTACTGTTGTTGTACGTTTACTATATGTTTATGGTTTGTTGAATGTATTATCTTCGAGTATTAGTTATTATTCTACTAGTAATGATGCACTAATATAATCATAATATTACTCATCATCTTTAAAATAAACAATCCATTTCAAAGTACACAAATTAGTGTCCTATAAAACAAAACATAACTAATTATAAATACAACATCAATCATTCAAATCAAACGTTGAACAATAGTCTTCTCTCTGCGTCCCACTCGTCCAACGCGTCTCTTGTGTCCCGTGCGTCTCTAGTGTCTCCTGAGTCCCTTTTATCCCTTTCCCTTTCCCTTTTGTGTTATTACCTGATGCCGCACTACTTTTTGTAGCCTTTTTTGTTTCTTTGGTACCAATTCCGGACAAGTCGCCGCATTATGTTTTGTACTATCACATCTACTACACCTTCTTACTATAGGTTCCTCACCTTGTGACGAGATACGATTTCTGTTTCTCGGTCTACCAGCTTGACGTGTATCCATTATCGGGGATTTAACAATCATCATCTCAACAGGAATCTCCCAATCACACAGTTCTGGAAGGGGGTAAACCGGATCCTCATACATACTTCGGTACGTTTCCATTTTGTAAGCATCTATAGCCAGATGTCCTAAGTTAGTTTTTTTCAAGTGGTTCAAGACCATTATGACATGACCACAAGGCAACCCAGTTCCTTCCCAATATTTGCATGTACAAGTGTCTTGCCTCAGATCAACTATGCCACCATGTTTGAAATCAGGCACTTGATATATTGCATCTGAAACACCAGAAACGGACCATCCTGTCGTACGCTGTTCATTTTTACCAACTACTTTTTCAGCCCACTAGGTTAACACTATTGAATGTTTCCTTGTAAAGAAGATATATATAATTAACTTATTATTCGACCTAATTAAAGTCCAAATTAAATTCATACCTCCTTCGATGTGACGCTTGTTACACCATTCCTATGAAAGACGACGGAAGAACTCAAGAAGGGGTATTATAGGCATGTCACACCCCCGAACCGTCAGAACGGACGGCAGAAACGTCCGGGGGCGGGCGGCGTCATACGTTGTATCACAACAATTGTATCATAGCAATCAAAGTAAACACAACCATTACATTACAATATGAATATTTACATATGTCTTAAACATAGTTTGTATACATCAAAAGTAGCAAAAGATAAAGACGAGACTCCAAAATGCTCCATCTTCTCCAAAAACTAGCAAAGGTACTTGTCTATTGTTGTCCTGAGAATACAAGCGGTTTTGAAAATGTATCAGCATAAAGATGGTGAGTTCATAAGCATGTTTTTGTATTGGAAAGTAGTCACTGAATTTGTGTAAATGATTTCTTTTCATTATAAGTAAAATGTCATTTGTATCGAAACCCTCGTCGATCACCAATAAGTAAAATGTATTATGTTTGAAAGCCATGGCTACAACCAGTAAGTGATGTGTGTTATGTTTGAAAATCCTGGTTACCACCAGTAAATGATGTATGTTTTATTGAAAACCCTGGATACCACCAGTAAATGATGTATGTTCTGTTGAAAACCCTGGTTATCACCAGTTTGTAAGGTAGTTTTACTACTTAAAATAAAACCAAATGTTGTGTCCCTGGAATACCCTCCAGTATAGTATGTAAGTAGTCTTATTAATTAAAATAAAACTATCGAAGAAGGAAAATCCCATAAACAAAGGATAGTGATACTATTGTGAGTTCGTATAATCATGCTAATGTGACTGATGACCTCCGCGACATTTCTTCAGGTGTCGTATGTTACAAAATTCGTCACCCCAGGCATGTCTGCCTAACTGTAGCTAACAGTTCAGGTGTGGGATTGTCGATCCCGAATAGATCTATTCACAAATTTCATGCTCTCCCTCCAGGAGACTCTGGCTATACTAAATGTAGAGGATTTACCAGTACCCCGAAGGGTACTATGAAGAAGGTCTCACAATCCTGTATTAACTAGTTTACGTGTTGTTTTGTTGTTCTCATGTTCAAAATCATTTGTATACGGTGTAGAGTAAAAATAATTATACGCAAAATAATTATTTAGTAAGATACTCTTGTTATCTGAATGTAATATTGGATAAACTAAATTTGTCATAATTTATATGTTTGAATTTGTACGTAGTTTGAATTTGTAAAACCGGTAATGAAATCCCCAAACTATACCTATTATAATTTGACTGGTTTGTTATGTTCGTGTGTTGTTCTGAAAACTATGCAATTAAGTTTAGAAAACGTCCCTTATGATCCGCATATTACAAAAGAGATAAAGTATCTAGATGTTTAATGTAAAAACCATTGTAATTGCATCAGTTTTAACTTGTGAAAACCTTTATGTGTGGCATGTATTGCCCCCTGAAAACGTTATAAAAACTTATAAAAGCGTAGGGGTATGAACTCATAGTTGCTTGGTCGTAAAGGATTGAACCGCAAGATCCTTGAGTCGATGTGCGTGTCACTTAACGGAATCCTAATATCGAATAAATACATATATGTGTATAAATTAGCGATTTCGCTAGATAAAGTGTTAGATAAACACTTGGTTTTTGGTTAAGGAAAGTTACCGGGACTTGGTTGAATCGAGGAAAATAGGTTTTTCCCCACGAAAGAGTTGTTTACGCTCATGAATAGAGTTTACGGCCGAGAACCGGGTTTACGGCTGTGAACAGGGTTTATGGCCGCGAACTAGGTTTATGGCTTTTGAAGATCTAGGAGATTACGACCTTAAACTCAAGAACACGAGTGCTAGTTTTCGCCTAAAAGTGTTCCAGAGGCTCCCAAACGGCCCCAAATGACGATTTCCGATGTTTTTCGGGTGAAAGGAGGGTTTTAAGGAGTTTACGGTCAAGAGGTTTAGAGAGAGAAAGTGGGTGTTTTCGGCCAAGAAGGTTGAAATGAGGGTGGGGTCCTGTATTTCTAGGCCAGGGGTATGGTCGGTTGTGGGGTCCACCTGGAAGCGACCGTAAATAGAGTTTATGGCCGTACACGAGTTTACGGCCGTAAACTCGCATTGGTCGTGAACTCGTCATTTTTCGAGGGAATCGTTAGTTTTTCGCGCGATTTTTGGTTTTCCGAGTCGTATGAAATTTTAACTATAACCTTAGTTAACTTACTTAACCCAAGAAGTTGACGGAATATTTAATAAAAATTAAATTTTATTGACAGAGGTGGTTTAAAAATAACGGAAGAAATTTCGGGTTGTCACAAGGCATCTTCCTTACATCTACAGATAAAGCATTCATGGACTCTACACTGTTTGAGTTCTTGTAATCGTACTGTTTCAACAATGAAAATGCTCTAGTCCATTTAGCATGAGGAATTTCACTTAGATTCGCTGCTACTTGCGGTCTAGTAGAACTAAATCTATACCACAATTCTTAAAAAACATTTCTTTTGTAAGCTTTCACAAGCCTCCAAAACAACACTTTTGTTTTATCATTTTTCCTAAACCTGTGTACTATGTTTCCTAGCAGATGAAAATCACACAAGCCATGATGAGTATGTGGGAAAACGTTTTCAATACTAACCCAAATTGCATCGGTGCTATCAGTTACAAAAATCAATTCTTGACAATCACCAACACATTCATACAACTTTTCAAGAAACCATGTCCAAGTAATACCACTCTCTCTTTTGCATATTCCGTGCACAAGGGGCAGTATCTGGTTGTTTCCATCCATAGTTATTGGATGCAATATGGTTCCCTTAAAATCACCCTTCAAATGGGCACCATCCATACTTATAACTTTACGACAAAAACGTTTGAACGTTCATATTTGCAATATATTAATATGGAACACATAAAAACTCTATAATTTGTTTTAAAAAATTATATATTAAATAACGACAAGTTTTTTGTATTTACCGTGCTCCCAATGGCATAAAAACAACACTCAAAACAATCTTCAGAATCTGTTTGAATATAGGTCACTGTACCGGGATTATGCATCTTCATATTGTGAAAATAAATAGGAAGTTTGTAAAAACATTCTTCAGATGATCCCAGCAACAGTTCCATAGCATATTGTTTTTCATGCCAAGCTTGTTTGTAATCTACATTGATTTCCAGCAAAGCATTCAAATCACTTGATATTTCTTTAGGCCTCCAAACCTTGGAACGAGTTTTTCCCATAATCTCATGCAATATAGTACCCATCACTTTTTTATTAGCATGCTTATGATTAAGGTGTATCTGTAATGATGAACATGTGTGCATGTTCTTGAAAGTCCTTATTTCAAATTCATCAGTGGGATCAAGGCGTTTTTGCATATAAACGCCAACTACAGTTCTCAATTTCACAATATACCTCATAACGATTTTTGTTAGAATGCTTGGTCTTAAACTGAAACGTTTCTCTGGTTGCTTTAAGACTCAAAGAAAATATTAGTTGTTGTTTGTTATCATATGTTTGACAAACAAACATATCATCATTTGGACCTAAACTGTGAAATGGTGCGGGTTCAACAATAAGATCAGGACAATCAGGTATAGGAGGCATACCGTAAAATATGTCTAGAGCTTTTTTCCCGTGTGTGAACTCATCTTCTAACCATCCTTCATTTGACTCTTCACCGTCTGACAAAGTTTTGTCAGTCACTCTTCCAAACTCATATAAATTTTTTTCATCAACCGTATTCACTGCCATAGTTTCTTCTTCTAGACACTCTTCAACATTATCAGATACAACGTTTTCAACATTGTATGGTACAATCTTCTCAACCGCTTCTGTCTGTTCGAGCAATCCCTGAAACACCTCTAAATACAAATGCACAATCTCCTTCGTTTCAGAAATTACATTTCTGAGTTGATGAACATATGCTTCGTCTAAAATATTCATAACATACCCATGAACCGGGTGTCGAAATGACAATTATATATTACTATTGAACACATTAGCCTTACTTTTGACCAAATCAAACAATATTCGACAATCAAAATTTGGTGGAACCAGTAAACCTAAGTTGTTAAACTTTGGTCTAACGTATATGTTAATCTCATTACTTATCTGCCAAAAACCCTCAGTACATCAAATAATAAAACTCATATTTTTTTTTGAAAATGAAATGAAAAAGAACTGATATATCGACCAAATGGAGCTAAGAAAATGAAAAAGAACACTTTGTATCAAAAAACCATCTAAAATTTGTTCCAACCACCAATTCTGCGGAGACATTAATCTCTCCGCGAAGCTCCTCGTCACCATCTCCGCTGAGGAATTTATTACCGCCAAACAACTCACTCCGCGGAGGTGTTACTGTAT